CGGGGCTGCATCCCGGCGCCCGAGGGAGGGAGCCCCGAGCCCGGGTGGGTGAGTGGAGGGGGCTCCGGCGGGACGCGTGGGGATTTGGGGGGTTTAAACACTTTGGCAGAGATGGCAATCGTCCGGGACCCTTTGTAGCCTGACCTCCAGCCATCTTTGATTTCCGACTTCCTAAAATAACTGCGGTGAGCTAATGAGGGGGGGATTTTTTTTTGGGGGGGGGGGGGGGGAGTGGGTGCTCTTGGCTGCGCTGCTTCTAGCAGATCCGGGCTCGCGGGGCAGGGGGACCCTGTGTTTGCTGGCAGGTCTCTTTGATCTTTGGGGGGGGGCTCATGGGGGGCAGTTGAGGGGCTGGCGGCAGCGGGACGCGGAGCCCGGCGGCGGGAGCGCGCGGGGAAGCTTCTTCCGTCCTGCCCGGAGCATCTTCCCGCGGCCGCCCCGGGCAGGGCAGGGGCTCCTCGGGTCCCGCCTGCCGACTCCGTGCGGTTCCCGCTCGGATGGTGCCGACCCCCCGGGCCGGAGGAGCTGGGAGCCGGGACCCGCTCGGCACCAGGTCCCTTCCCCAGCGCGGGATCGAGGGATCCCCTTCGCCACCCGGTGGCTGGCACTCGCGAGGTGCGATCCTGGCTTTTCCCTTCCCCCCCCCCCCCCAACTCTGCCACCATCAAACTCTCTCAACTTCCCCCCCCGGTCGGTAGGAGCGATCAATAACCATGTCGGGTACAGGAGCCGCCTATTCCCAAGCCGCAGGGGGTTGGGGGAGTCGCCCCCCTTCTCCAGCCCTCCCCCCCCCTTTCTTTCTTTTGAGCCGAAATGTGCAATTGTTGGGTCCGGTTAATGGTGACTTAAGAAGCAGCAAGCTGGCCAGAAGGCAATAAATCCCATGTTTAATGCATGACTGTTTTCCTTTGTGCATATGGTCGGGACGGGGGGGGAGGTGATGTTTCCACATGTAAATCTACCCGCTGCTGGAGAGCCACCTCCGGGGGCTGCGCTGAAACAAAGGGTTAATAACTCCCCTGAAGCTGCGTGCTCCCGCGGGGGGGCACTGCGTTGCAGGAGGAGGCAGTGCTGCTTTAAACGGGGGGGGAGCTTAATCCTTTTTGCAAGTGCTCGCGGTGCGGCGACTTCGCTGGGAGGTGCTGCTTCAGAATAACTGAATAATAATAAAAATGAATCAAATAGAATCCAAGGAAAATTTTACAAAATTATCATCTTGCTGCAAATGACACCACGAATTTGATTAAAACATTAACTTTCTTAGAGATTTCCAGCTGTTTGGCTGCTTTGGTGAATTATTTTGTCATTTCATGTTTTGAGGTCAACATTATTTCTAGCTGATCTGAATTCCTGATCACATAAGAAATATGTATCTGGCATGCAGATACCGCCAGATGCAGAACAGTAAAGGCAGGCAGCCAGCAG